CCTTGACGTTTAACCACGTGGCTTTGTGACCTTGACGTTTAACTACATGGCTTTGTGACCTTGACGTTTAACCACAAGGCTTTGTTACCTTGACGTTTAACAACGTGGCTGTGTAACCTAAACGTTTAATCACGTGGCTTTGAGACCTTGACGTTTAACCACGAGGATTTGTGACCTTGACGGTTAATCACGTGGCTTTGTGACCTTGACGTTTAACCACGAGGCTTTGTGACCTTGACTTTTTAATCACGCAGCTTTGTGGCCTAGCCGTTTAACCACGAGGCTTTGTGACCTTAACGTTTAACCACGTGTTTTTGTGACCTTGACGTTTAACCACGTGGCTTTGTGATATTGACGTTTAACCACATGGCTTTGTGATCTTGACGTTTAACTTCGTGGCTTTGTGATCTTGACGTTTAACCACGTGGCTTTGTGATCTTGATGTTTAACCACGTGGCTTTGTGACCTTGACGTTTAACCACGTGGCTTTGTGACCTTGACGTTTAACTACATGGCTTTGTGACCTTGACGTTTAACCACAAGGCTTTGTTACCTTGACGTTTAACAACGTGGCTGTGTAACCTAAACGTTTAATCACGTGGCTTTGAGACCTTGACGTTTAACCACGAGGATTTGTGACCTTGACGGTTAATCACGTGGCTTTGTGACCTTGACGTTTAACCACGAGGCTTTGTGACCTTGACTTTTTAATCACGCAGCTTTGTGGCCTAGCCGTTTAACCACGAGGCTTTGTGACCTTAACGTTTAACCACGTGTTTTTGTGACCTTGACGTTTAACCACGTGGCTTTGTGATCTTGACGTTTAACCACGTGGCTTTGTGATCTTGACGTTTAACTTCGTGGCTTTGTGATCTTGACGTTTAACCACGTGGCTTTGTGATCTTGATGTTTAACCACGTGACTTTGTGACCTTGACGTTTAACCATGAGGCTTTGTGACCTTGACGTTTACCTACGAGGCTTTGTGACCTTGACGTTAAACCACGAGGCTTTTTGACCTTGACGTTAGACCACGTTGCTTTGTGACCTTGATGTTAAACGACGTGGTTTTGTGACCTTAATGATTAACCTCGAGGCATTGTGACCTTGATGTTAAACCACGAGGCTTTGTGACATGGACGTCTCACCACTAGATACTAGCATTTTAATGCATTCCTCATTTCTTAGTTAACAGCTTTAAATAGTTCGTTCAATTCTTTTAGAGACAAACTGTAACAAGTTAAAAACATGCGACATTTTAAAATGTCGCCCTGGCCTTTCGGATACTGCATTGCATTCGAACTTATTGCACTATGTAGCTTTATTAAATTAATTAATTCAGAGAAATGGATAGCCTTCTTTAAGAATCGGAAAAATTATTTGATTTGATTGGGATTGGTCATTATCAAATGCACGTGATTTATGAAACGAACCTTAAAAGTTCCTTTAAAATGAAGCTTTACGTCATGTCTATATTATTTCTACACTACAGGAGAACACGGTAGTAACATGTTTAGTTTTAATGGCACATACATATGTATTCAATCTTTTGTAAGTTTTAAGAACTTTTATCGTTAAATGAAGGTAGAGCTTGACTGATGTTTTCTTTGGTTTATTGATAATGCAATTGAACATTAAATTCATGTAGGGCGTTCCATGCCATAAAGTGCTGAGTAGAACAGGTTTGTATAAGAACAAGGGAGCGGGGGGTCTTTAGTATATCATATTTTATCATGATAGATTCAAATCAATTTCATTCCGTTAAAGCAGGGAAGGACCAACTTGCCCCTAGGAGATGGATTCGTCCAGAATAGGTGATATCCTGGCAATTACGCAAGACTACCGTTGTTCAGTTGTGACTGAAATATTAGAATAAATGGAAAATACTCGTCCCTTTCCTTGAGGGTGATTTTTTAGTTGTCTGACCCGACACTCTTCATCAATCTGTTACACATTATTACGATGATAAATTCACCTCAGTTGCAATTATCAATTGCGTTTACAATGTCGTTAATCATACAAACTACGAAATTCTGATTTTTTACTTTAAAATCATAATAATAACGATAGTTTATCAAAGCTATAGAATGAAGTTTTAATTGATTTTCCAATCACTGTGTATAAATGTTCTTCATCGCTGTGCCGAATTATATCATTTAAAATGCATTCTGATTGTCAGCTCACAATTAACCGAAATCTGAATATATCATGGTCAGTGAGCTAGCTGATCGAGGTATGACTTTATTATTCCAGACGAACACGTGTGTTATTTGTGAAGTGGAACTCTGGTAGAGCGTCGACCGTCAAGAGTTCGGAGGGTCCCAGGTTCGAATCACGGCCTGTCCGTGCATTTCGCTCTTGCTAACCCGTGTTTTAAGTACTGGCTGAATGCTTGGTCCCCGAACCTGGGTTATAAATAGTTGTGTCTTCGGGGGCCAAGACTTAAAAAAATGTAGGAAACTTGAGCTGGGTCGTTCGCCAGCGACCAAGCTAAAATGGTAAAGCGTCCGTCTAAGAATTTGAAGTAACCCGGGTTCGAATCCTTGTGTGGCCCTGCAGCATTCTTTTTTCTATTACATTTTATTTATGATTGCAGTAGAGCTGTCAGATTCCTTTTAAAGCTTGTATTTTTGTATGATTATTGGTGCCGTTACCGAATAAAATATTGTTTAAGATATTTTTGTCATGTGTCTCGATGTCACCAACATCTGACAAACCAATCAAAACCACAGCGGGGCATCCTACACATTTACACAACTCAATAAATAATTCAATTTCAATTAATTCCTGGCACAAAATTGATTCATATTTGTTTTAATGTTCTGATGTTATATTACAATAATTTGAAATTTATTTTGCATTTTTAAAGCAATCAATAAATCCTTTAAATATTTCAAAAACCTGTCACTTTCAAATCGTTTTTCTTGTAATTAATCGAAGTGCTGTGTGAACGTCACTACCATTTTTTAGCGGGCCATGTTGCACTCCAACATTAAAACAACCACAGTAGCCTCCCTTGGTTTGTAATTTAAAATAATGACAGTTATTTCCCTTGATTTACAATTGACACTTCAGTACTAAGACTCAAATCAATGTTGATTATTTTCCTTTACGAAAATGTACACTTGCTTTTGTGATATTGGGTCATTGATATATAGTAATAACCATATTGAATGATTTATAATGCGAGTTTCCTTTATACCAATTATTAATATATTTGTCCTTTTAATTTCTGTCCTCACATATAAAAGATCAGGCCCGTATTCATGAACCCGTTCTCATGCTCAAGCCTAATTTCTTCTTCCAGTTATAAATTATTAATGAAACTTTAAATTGTCAATGATTTGGAAAAACTTGAAGACAAAAAACGTTTTCATTGTATACATTTCACTTTTTGATCGTTTGACATGATTTAATTGAGTTACAAGACAGTTGGTGTGAGCACAGAATTCATGCTTGAGTATGAGTACGGTTTCATGAATACGGGCCCAGAGTGAGAGGTTATTGAAATGTCTGTCCACAAAAACTTTTCTATTTCTGTTCCAGTACTGTAGACAATTAGTTGATGTACATTTCTATTAGTCCCCCTGGTGGGTCAAACTCAAGCTACATATAATTCCTGACTTTCTTTCCCAAATTGTTTCATTTGGGGTTGCTTTTTGGTCAATAGGTAGCTAGACAGGTCATAGTCACCATTAATATAATTTGTTTGAACATATAGGGTTTAGCATTCTGTTAAAAGCTAAGTCATTTAATGGTGTGCCTCCGTGTGTGTAATGTATGTATATGTGTGTGCTGGAGGCAGTATATTGGTGTATTTGCCTCCCTGCGAGAGTGCTGATATGATGCAGACTTTATGCTGAAGTATCCCACCTGGCCTGGGAATTGATACCCAACTAGTTTCCTTCTTAACATTCTTCAATATATAGCCAAAAGTGAATTACATTTGTATGCGTAGCTGAATTGAGTCATTTCGGTACATAACAACTAATTGTACATGTAGCCGAATCAACATTGATTTGTGGACAACTAGTTCCCATGTTACACCCTTGTGTACATACCGTACTAGTCCTAATAGTAATACCTGGCCTCCTCTGAAGACGCCATATATAAAAAAAATATCTCGTCGTCAGAAAGCTATGTTATCACAGGAACCGTTAATACCATACCAGTCATCGAAACCTCAGATAGAAACATGTATAGGTTGTGTTACAAGAATCTTCTCATAATCTATACATGTACTTACCAACCTGAAGAAAATATTTAGAAATAGCCAAAAGTGAAGACATACAGTCTGTGTTATTTTGGGTACCAGTAATCCTAAAGGCTTTTTTTAACAAAAAACTTGCTTGGAATTGACCTTTGAGTCAGTGATAAGGTAAAGATTACTATTACACTGTACAACAGAAAACAAATTGATGTTATTCACAGTATCATATAGTCATGGCATATACATGTATACATATGCTAACCTAAGAAAGATTAACAGTACACACACACACACATAGTTGAGTCCACCTTTAAAATTTGGTAATAGATACAGTATGCAATATTGCCCAAAAAATTAATTGCACTGTATCATACAGCTGTTTTGTCCATCTAGGAGTCATCAGTGATGCTAGGGGCCAAAAAGTGTTGGAAATCCAAACTGTATATAACTACTGAATTTTAAAATCTAGAGACTGATTAATTAGATAATTGAATCATTATTAAAGTGTATATATTTATATATATTATGAAAAGAAAAATTCTCAACAAGTCTTTAGTACTTTCATCTCTTCTAGGAGATTCTTCAGACTGGGATATTTTTTGAGAAATTTTTTGAGAAATTTTTCTGATTTATAATAATATTTCTTCGTCTGTAAGGATAATTTTTCTGATTTATAATAATATTTCTTTGTCCATAAGGATAATTTTTCTGATTTATGATAATATTTCTTCGTCCGTAAGGATCACTTTTCTGATTTATTATATATATATATATATATTTATATTACTAGAACTACATGCAGCATGAAAATAAACAGAAAAAACACAATGACATATGTAAATATTGTGCCATTGAGAAAATTTAATTGACAAGACCTTCACATGTTTATTATACAAAGAATTCACAATAAAAATATTATCTAGACTACACAGTTATTTTCAGCCCCACTCCTCCAAAGGCAGGGATGTAAAAATGCCTGGAGGGGGAGGAAGCAACGAGGGAGGAAGATTAGTGATGCCCTCCAGATGTGGAGGAAGGGAATACACAGGTAATTCCTGTTCTTTGTGGATTTTATCTACTTTCGTTTTATCCTTTGAACACTTTTGAACTTTTTCTAGCCATTTTTCAAGAGATGGTGGTTCTATTGACTCTGCTGTCTTGGAACTTGCAACATTTTTCTTAGCATCAATTTGTCTTTGCATTTCTTGCTTCTGTTCATCTGTCATGTGTGAATATTTACAACTTCCCATGAAGGAGCAGTGTCCAGAGGACAGAAAATGTTTACATGGACGTTTCGACAACTCCTCTGCCAGGATTACCCCCGGCTCGCGGTACTGATCGTAATAAGCTTTGCGACAACGTTGGTGTATCAGGCCTTTTAGATGGTTTTTACGATTGTTTGCTTTATCAGCAAATGTCTTGTCGCAGAAGTCACAATAATAATTCTTCCCCATGATCAAGCAAATATATCACATTATCGATCCTCCTCTAAAATAGAAAAAAAAAAGAAAGTATAATTTGACATGTAAATAACCACATTATTTGACAAAGGAAGGCAGTGTCTTCTAACATTTACATTTATGTGCTAAGAGACATTTGAAATTAAAGCATTCACATTGAATGCTTTAATTGAAATGCCTCTAAGCACATAAAAGACATTGGTCGTGTCACAATACTGTCCCTCATAAAAGTGGTCAAAATATTTTTAGAATGTAAGCTTATATCATACTGTAGTTTTCATTAGCATATGATATGCTTGTTAGATTTGAAGTTGTGTAGACTGTAATGATAGTGTTTGTGAAGAGACCATATTAACTATTGTTGATAAATATTACTATTTTACTGTCTAGGAAAAAGTTGGTTGTTTGGATTTACATAATCAATATTTTTTCGAATATGACAATAAATCTGTGACTGTCCTCTTCACATGAAACACAGGTCACGGGAGTCAGACGTTTATTGAATATAAGTATAAAAGTATATATATATAAAAAAAAATACCCTGTTTACTATAAAAAAAACCCACCTTTTTTTTAGTATACAGGGCATTTTTTACACATGTACATGTATATATATATAGACTGTTATACTTATATCGATTAAACGTCAGACTCCTGTGCACAAGTGGAGTCAACAGAGATATTTGGACCTAAACTAAGGTGTTCAGAGTAAATTTATACGTTTGTGGGGGAGGGGGTTAGATCGATTTTCGGTAAATGCCACCCCCAATGATCATATAAAGGAGAATGGCGGAAAGTTCTCGATGTCGAGAAATCGACCCCACCTAACTTTCTTGATCATTGGGGTGGTATTTTTTTTTTTACCGAAAATCGATCTAAACCCCACAAACGTGTAAATTTACTCTGAACACCTTAATTTAGGTCCAAATATAACCGTAGCTGTAACAAATTCTCAGGTCCCAGTGGTGGATGGTATAATTAATTTTTGACAGAATTTCAGACTGTTGTTAATGAAAAGACTTTGAACTGATCGTGCTGATCTTATGACTCTCGATCCCATATCGGTAAGTACAGCACAGTACCGTTACTATCAGAGATTACCGTTTAAATCCTAAAATGCAACAACATACCGGCAAAATGTTCTCATAGGAGGAAAACCGGAAGTACATATAGTAACTGAAATCTGGGTTATACTAAAGCACTGATATTTTTGAAGTAGCGTCCAAAATTTTCATGAATTATTATTGACTTAATTATGTTTTTTGTTTTTTTTGCTACTTCAAACGATAAATTGCCATATTAACGGGAATATTTGTTCATGCCAATGCTTGTGTAGCGACCCGGTTAATCGGGAACTTAACAACATAACATAAACCATAAGTTTTTTTTTTAAATATCTATTTCTTGCAAAAGAAGAGAAATGTAATTTTCTCAGTTGATAACTTTGATTAATAACGTTATTCCAACCAAGGTTATTCCAATTACAGGCTTAAATTCTGTATCATGCATGCCTCATCTGATGAGGCGTGCATGATACAGAATGTAAGCCTGTAATTATTTAACCCGATCTCACTTACAAGGAATTGATATTTTTTCTTGCAATTCATTAGGGAATCAAATGTTAAATCTAACCACAGTTTATACAAGTTTCCCATCTCTTGCTTTAAAAATTAGGTTTCTTCATATTTGAATGATTGTATGTAAAAACTGTTGAAGGTACTGATTAGCAAACATATTTAAGAAAGTATCTTTTACATACTATTATATCGGATGTACAAAAAACGATGAAAAAAGAAACGATTTGATGTGTTCCTTGGATAAGTATAACTTCCTTTATTCTTGATAAATAGAGAAAAAAACAAAACAACATATACTGTCAAAATCCAAGAAGGACGACTAGCATACAGTGGCCATCTTGTTTTACTGTCTCAAAATGAAACACACACAACTGAGGGTCATGGGAGCGACCATCCACAGAAAATTTGAAAAGAAAAATTGTCAAGTATTTCTTTAAAAAACAACAACAACAGAAATGGGTGATGTTGGACTAAAAAAAATAACAGGCACATACCCATCTCAAAAACAGTATATACATGTAACTGGTAATTATTATCTAATCTAAAGCAGAACTTCATCGTTAAGGCAGTGGCGAAAAGTGATAAGTCAAGTTATCATGATCGGAGGTTAACAAATAGGTGTCTTATAAAACCTATGAAATTACAAAAATATAGTTCCCCAATGAACAATACATAATAAATGTTTATAATATCTGTATTTCTTTGCGTTCAGGAAGGAAATTGATGAAACTTTCAGCGGTTTCTATAAAAAGTTCTGCCATTTTTTTACTTTTAAAACTAGATAGAAGTATATATTACGATTAGGTCCGTGTTGTTTCACCCGAAATCTCGTTCTCCCTAGGTTGTTCGCGCTAGGTTTTTTCGCCCTTAAAACAAAACAAAAATATGGTGAAACATTGTTTGTTATTTTTTTTTTCAACTTTAGCAGTTTTGACACAAATTAAGTCTCTTGGTCTTCCATATGATTAAAATCAATTTTATAAAAAAAATATGTGTTTTCTTGTCTTTAAGGGAGTGTGACAAACGGCAGCTGTGAAAAGCTGACTCCGCACTCGCACAGTTGCGTGTTTTTATTTTATATATACCTAACACTAGATAACTAATAAGTTTAGTTCATATGTTTAAATATTAACTTTTATATTAGCGTATAAATTAACATTTTTTTTAGGGCGAAACAACCTAGGGATAACGGGAATTAGGGCGAAACAACCCTTAGGGCGAACAGGATTTAGGGCGAAACAACCCGTTACCTTACGATTTTGCCCGTACATTCCTGACACTAGGACTATCCATCTTCGTTTTACGAGGTCACATTAACGCTTGTTATTTGTTTGCCATCAACAACCGCCTTAGCTTCATGGCGAGCCTAGTTTCGACATGTAGTTTAAGCAGCAACAGTAGGTCCAAGTTCTATATTTGACTCGTAAGTCCCTAATGGATTTCATATCCACTTTTTCTTTTATCTAATTGTGTCACCACAACTATGCTTACCCAGTTACTGTCATTCAGTTTACTTTCAGTTTACATTTGAACGAGTTCAGTATTTCGGTATTGTTGTGCAATCGAGTTTTCTCAAGCAAATCCCCCCCTTTTTTTTTTATCTGAATTGCTATATTTGCCTCGTGCACGTGGTTTCATTATTTTCACTCGCTGAGTTTAACAGGTAAGCATACGTTTCTTCTTTTTCTTCTTCTTCTTGGTTCTAACTAGCTATATAATATATAAAAGCATTGATTAAAAAAAACCACCCAACTACACTGTAAGTGCAGAAAGATCTTGATACAACGTGCAAGTGGAGTGACATAGGCATATAACGCGAAGCACTTAAACGCTGGCAAGAATCCACTATTACTAAACTATCTAACAAAAATACCAATCCTAAACTTTTCTGGTCAATTACTAAATCACTTCTACGCAAAAATGGTGATCACACTATCCCTCCTTTAATGGAAAACAATCACTATATACACGATGATACTGACAAGGCAGATCGATTTAACACATATTTCTCTGATCAATGTACTATCCCGGATAACATCGAGAAACCAGTTCTACCCCAAACTAATGTAAATAATAACTTACCTGTAATTAGTACCGTACAAACCACTCCAGAAGAGGTATGTAATATTTTTAAGTCGCTAAACACCAAAAAGGCAACAGGGCCAGATGGCATAGGAAATTTTATTCTTAAAAATTGCTGTCAATCATTATGTCATACTTGGGCACATATCTTTAATACTTCTCTCAGGTCAGGTATTTTTCCCACTTTGTGGAAAACAGCTCAAGTTTGTCCTATTCATAAAAAAGACAGCAAAAATGATGTTAAAAATTATCGGCCAATATCACTTCTTTCAAATATATCTAAATGTCTTGAAAAAATAGTATACAAACGTATTTATGAATTCTTTTTGGCAAATAACATTCTTATCAAAGAAAACTCTGGATTTAAAAGAAATGATTCTACCATTAATCAGCTGTTAAAAATAATCCACAGCATTTATAAATGTATAGATAATGGTGGGGATGTTTGTACAGTATTTTTAGATGTCTCAAAAGCTTTTGACAAGGTGTGGCACGAAGGTCTACTTCACAAATTAGAAAACATAGGTATTAGAGGTAGTTTGCTTTGTTGGCTTAAAAGTTATCTTTATAATAGAAAACAGTATGTAGTCTTAAACGGTCAATCTTCTGGTCATAAATATATTAACTCTGGTGTCCCCCAGGGCTCGATCCTTGGACCGCTCTTATTTTTAGTATATGTAAACGATATAAATGTAGGCATCTCATCTGACATTAACTTATT